AAGGCAGCTGCGCTCCATCCTCCCGGCTGCTTAACTCTTTGGGGGCAAAGGGGAGGAACGCGGCTCCGGCCATGCTTGGCATGAGACGGGGATGCTCTGGGAGGGGTGGAAACTGGCCAGAAGTGGGACTAGGGGGTTGTTGTTTCCCCAGAGTTTCTCAGTTTCGCCCTGGTTTGTTCTGACATGGGTTTTTCTTCGGAATTAGGTAAGGAGGGGGTCTGCTGGCCCGCCTGGAGGGAGCAGGTAGCCACATGTGTCATTGTGGGGTAGCGAAGTGCGTTATCCACGTTCTTAACAACTTGCCGTGCCTCGTGCTGCTCCGTCGCAGGAGCCTGAAGGGTTCCCGCAGGGATTCTCTCCTCCCGGGGTGGCTGTTCTCCGACCCCAGCGTGATTTCGCCGTCTGCTGCCCCTTGTCCTTCCCACTCTCTGCCCGACCGACGGTGCCGCAGACCAGTGACCCCTCGAGGCGGATGGACGTGCATCTCCCTCCTTGTGCAGCGCGGCGGGTACCTGCACCCCTGTGCTCACCGTCCTCTCGCTCCTCCGTCTCAGCCTCATCTTCCTCGGGGTCACCCACCCCTTTTATACCCCTGCTGCCCCAAGGGGTCCCTCCCCACCTCCTGCTGAGTCCATCCACAAAGCTTCTGCCTTTCTTGTGTCAAAGAGGGGAGGTTGAGCTGAGATATTGGGAAGAAATGTTTTCCTGTGCAGGTGGTGAGGCAGTGGCCCAGGGTGCCCAGAGAAGCTGTGGATGCCCCATCCCTGGAGGGGTTCAAGGCCAGGCTGGATGAGGCTTTGGGCAACCTGGGCTAGTGGGAGGTGTCCCTGCCCATGGCAGGGGGTGGCACTGGGTGGGCTGGAAGGTCCCTTTCCACCCAAACCGTTCTGTGATTCGATGAAATGTTTCAACACGGTGACAAGAAGCCCTTGCTCGTGCTCCGCTCTGGAATTCCGAGTGGTGGGACGCAGCAGCTCGCTTGGCCACGTGGCATCTGCTCCAAATCACGGGCAGCGTGTCTCTGGACCTGCCCGCCTCCGTGGGGTTTGCACGTCCACACAGCAAGGCGGATGTTTCCTCCAAAAAATTACCCATCCCCTTTCCTCGGCGTTGGGACGGGGGTATCATGTCGGCACGTCCCAACACTGATTCCTTTGCCTTCAAGTGTCTCGGCCACTTGTTCTGACTCTCCTCAGTGACTATTTCCAGCTTCACGGCCCCAGGACCACCTGGTGCCTGCAGCTGGGGTCGGGTCCTGCGAAATTAGCCTTGAAGCATCCCCCGAATACCAGACGGGCTGAATTTTTGCTCCCCACCTCCTGCTGTCCAATACCTCTTCCAAAGGAAACCTGCCTTGCCAGGCGCTGCTCCAGCCCCGGGCGAGGATGGGAGCATTAGGAATGATGAAGATGTTTGCAAGGACTCACGGGACCTCCCAGGTTTCCTCCCTGCCTCGCAGGCAGCCACACAGCCTCGCTCCTCGGGATTTGCCGTGCCCCAGCTCTCCGGAGCTGGTTTGTGAGCTCTGGATGTGTTTTCTAAGCAATCACTCCCCAGGTTGAAGGTTGCTTTTCTTTTTTTTTTTTTTTTTTTTTCCTTTTTTTTTTTCTCCACTCTACTTAATTTTCCAGGGGAAAGGAGAAACAAATCCAAGAAGCCTTCATTATAAGAAAGCAGATTTTGTTCTTTTAGTTTTCATAGAGAGCCGTGGCTCAGAGCAGTAAGCTCGCTGCAGCGTCTCGGCAATAGATCAGAATTCCCCTGGCTCTGCGTGCACTTGGTAGAGCATCAACGGGCCGACCGTTCCAGCGCTGCTTCGGTGACTCAGATAAATAACACGCAGACCAAACCATACGTTGAGCCCGACTCGGCCAGACTGGAAAATGCACTTTTGGAAAGCGCTTTTGCAGGCGGGGAGGGCTCTGCGCGGCCGGGGCTGCTGCGAGGGACTGCTGGCCCGCTCCGAGCGCTGGCTGATAGGGGAAAACCGCGACCTTGGGTCCTTCAGACCCAGCTGTGAAAAACAGGAGATTAAAAAACCACTTTGTTTGGTTTTTCTGTTTTTTTTTCCCTTTTCTGTTTGGGCTAGTGAAGCAGTACATCACGGAGGTCGCTCCTGTGCCGCCGCCATCTGTGCACGTACCCATGCCCCTGGGTACCCGCTGCCCTTCGTGCCAAACCGCCCAGCGCCGACGGGAGATTTGGGTGCCTGGCTTCCTTCGGCGGGGTTTTTCCATCCGGGATAATCCCAGTGGATGTGCAAGAGCCGTCCCCCGTTTTCCCAGCAAAGCGCAGGGGCATCACTCTGCTGAAGGGCTCCTGCTTTGCTCCGTGACGCTTAAACATCTCCGAGCCGGGGGTCCCAGGCTCTCTGCCTGCCCATCAGAGGTGTTGGAAGCCAAAATTGGGAATCTGAGCTCAGCCAGCATCCCTGGTCCCTGCCTGCACCCCGGGAGCCCCTCGGTTAGCCCCAAGATGTGATGTTC